GAAACCCTACACAGGACTTGCTATGAGTCGGAATCGACTCAACAAAAGTTAACAACCACCACAGAGAACCAAGATGGGCCCTGGTGTGGCACTCTGGGATAAGCACTGGACTGCTAACCACAAGGTGGGCAGTTCAAACATTCCAGCTGCTCTCCGAAACCATATACAGGGTCGCTATGAGTGGGAATTAACTTGACAACATCACCAGAGAACTATGACAGGGCCACAGTCAAGAACCGATGGAAATATCTGGAGAAAGCAGAAGTCTTTCCTCCCACAAGGGCACAAAGGCTCCGTCCTCAGCATCAGCTGATCTCAGGGTTCACAGAGGACACCCCAGGCCTAGGAAGGAGGAAGGGCCGCTGAGGCTCTGCCAACTGTCCCTCAGACAGTCATGTGCTCAGTTCCCCACGTGCCACGACGGGACTGGAGGAAGACCGAAAGACACACAGAGCAGCCACGAGAAACGGCCCTCAGTTCCCCACGTGCTACAATGGGACCAGAGGAAGACTGGGAGACACTCAGACACGGAAAACGGCCCTCAAACACGACTCTACTCTCACCACCTATCCCTCCACCAGGAGGAAATGCCAGCCTCTCTACAGTCCGTCTCCTGCACACAGAGTTCCGCAGCCTCAGGACTAACTTCTGTAAATACATTAAGTATTAGATCATATGTTGATCCCAGCAACAGTGCACGCTGGGAATACGAAATTCCATTTCAGTACCGCTTAACGTGAAACTCCCAGTAACAGTGCGTGATGAACAGGGACTCAGGACTAGCTGCTTTTCTTATCACGTAACTAAGCAACGCTACTTTACAACTCAGCAGTCTCCGTGTAACGGAGGAAGAAGAGAAACCATAGCCCAGCTTAACAGCAAAAGAGAAAGGAATCTGCATCCTAAACCCAAACCAAAGCCAACCCACTGCCACTGCCTCAGTCCTGACTCACAGCGACTCCACACGGGGATCCAGAGACCGCACAGCTTAGGGCGTGAGAATTCTGGAAGCACAATTGTTGTTATGTGCTGTCAAGTTAGTTCCAAATCAGAGCGACCCTGTATAGAATTTCATGGCTGTAAATCTTTACAGGAGCAGAAAAATCTCATCTTGGTTCTGTGGACTTGTGGTTAGTAGTCCCATGTTTATCCTACAGGGATACAGCAGTCACCAAATCACAATGGAGTCCTCCCAGAGGCTGCTTCCTGCCTCCATCAGTGCTTGGATACTAAGACTTTGGCTCACAAACATTTGCGGGGAAGGAGGGGCTGGTTGTCGACTTATAAGCAGCGTATAAGCCCTTCCTCCCCAAAGCAATGTTCCAGCATGTTACATAAAACCCACAGGGTGAGGGGCACCCTGACGCCTACTCAGAGCCCGAAGGCCACATTTCCACCTTTAGAAGGATGGAGCACTCGCGTCCTCAGCTATCCACAGCAGTCAGAATTGACAGGACGCGCTCACTGAGAGTCAGTTTCTGGACTGACTGGTTTCTGGACCACAAGAACATTTCAATGTGTGTTGTTCGAACAGCAGACCAAGCCACACTCACAGGGAAAACGTGGGGAGTGAGTGGAGGGAAACGGCTGGACACTGGCGGAGCGGCCTCTTACCTGCAGCGAAGGCGGAGCACATGACGAAGAACATCCCGACGGCGATCCTCTTCAAGGAGGACGGGAGTAGGCCGTTTCTCCTCAGCACGGGGTCCACCAGCTTGTCCTTGAGCGGGATCAGCAGGAGGATGAGCACGGCGTCAAACATAGTCAGCCAGGCTGCCGGGAACTGGGAGAGGCAAATGGGCCATCAGGCGACGCCAGCATCTGTCTGCAGCGTCAGCTTGACAGCGTGTCCATGTCTATACTGCACAAGGACACGTCAAAAAGGGCTGTGGCAGGGTTCCAGGACACGCAGGGACGGCTTTACGTCAAACAAAAGGTGTTTCCCATGTCTGCACATCAGAGGATGGCTGCAGACCAGTTCCCTTGGTAATACGCTCCTCATAGTCTCCTTAAGAAGCTCTGGTAGCGTAGTGGTTACGAATCGGGCTGCAAGCCGCAAGGTCATCAGTTCGAAACTACCAGCTGTTCGGTGGGAGAAAGATGAGGCTTTCTGCTCCCGTAAAGATTTATAGCCTCGGAAACCCTGTACAGGGTCGCTGTGAGTCGGAACCGACTCCACGGCACATAACCACAACACATCTCCTTAGGGGGCCTTCAAAGAAAAGGTCCAAGCAAAGCACTGGCTTCCCAAGGGGTCTTCACTTCAGGCCAAGGCGGAGAGCTCCACTCAGAAGGTCATGGGGAGTGTTTCTGGGGCCCACAAAGGGCCACACTCATAGATTTTCTTGGATACAGGATGATGATGGACGCTTATGAGAAGAACTTTTAAGAAAACGGAAAACGGCACTAGCAAGAAGATGGCCAGGAGATTTGCAGTGAAGCCCTGTTTTCCATCATGACAATGTACCTGCTCAATCCCTGAGGGTAGCGAGCTCTGTCCTAGGAGAGGTGCATTGGGGACCCTTACCCCACCCAGCCTAAAACCGAGCTCTAGCCCCTTCAGACTTTCTGTTCCTCAACCTCAACAAACATTTCAAAGGAACACAATGTCTGAGTCCCTCAAAGATGTAAAAATGCCATTCTGAAGCGGCATAAATTGAAGAGCGCACAATTCTTCGTGTGTTAGAGAGACAGAAACATCACCTGCAAAACTGTACAGACCTCAGTCAGGGGCCATGCTCACCACCAACAGCTTCACCTGTGAGATTGCTGCTTCAGAAAGCTATGCTTCTGCAAAGATACTTTCTGACAAGCCTTAACCTTACAACCTCTTAGAAAAAAACTGTTTCAAGACACTGAAAAGCAGGAAGATTTTTATTTTTGAGCAGGTTTGCATTTGTTCTTATGTGTTTTTAGATCAGGTGAAAATATTACTTAAAGGACACAAGTCAGTTACACCTCATAAACAATGTGGCCAACAGAGAAATCGTCCCTAAAATAAGTGAAAGTTCAATTCCAGTAACAACTTCTGTAGTTCATGCTAACCATGAAACTATTTAAGGTAACTACAGCTGGCTAACGATTAGGGTGCGCCTGACCCAGGCCATTGTGTTTTCAATAGCCTCATATGGATGCGAAAGCTGGACAGTGAATAACGAAGATCGTAGAAGAATTGATGCCTTTGAGTTGTGGTGTTGGAGGAGAATACTGAAAGTGCCATGGACTGCCAAAAGAACCAATAGATCTGTTTTGGAAGAAGTGCAACCAGAGTGCCCCTTGGAGGCCAAGATGGCTAAACTTCATCTCTCATACTTTGGACATATTGTCAGGAGGGAACAGTCACTGGAGAAGGATGTCATGCTGGGTAAGATGGAGGGTCAGAGAAAAAGAGGAAGATCCCTAACAAGATGGAATGGCCAGGTGGTGGCATTGATGGCGTCAAGTGTGGCAGCGGTAGTGAGGATGGCCCAGGATCGGACACTGTTTCATTCTGCTGTGCATGGGGTCGCTATGAGTCGGTTCTGACTCGATGGCACCTGACAACAACAACACAGCTGGCAGAAGAGACAGCTTCGATGCATAAAACCCCAGAAGACAATTCCCATTATCATCTCAAATGTTCTTACCGTGTGAGAGGTGGGTGCAACACTTGAAATTTCTGGAATCTTCAGATGAAGACTCTGTAAAACGTACGTCGTCTGCATCTGAGTACAGAAAGCATCATCATTATATGTGAACAGTCGGTCTTAAAATATCTCGAGCATCTTTTTGCACCCAAATCAGATGCTGTGAGGAGACCCAACAATGACTCCCAGGAACAGATGGCGGACAAGCCAGTTACTGGGGCACCGTGAAAACCTCCTAGAGCTGAACTCTGAAAAAGAGCTGCCAGCTGTCCCACCAGGAATGAGGAGGAGGCGCCTAAGACACCAGATGGGTACCTGCTCCGAGCCCCTGTCTGGGAAGTTTTCCAGAGATCTAAAGTGCCCATAACTGTTAGTCCATAACTGAAAACAGCAAGGTCCCGACAAACTCCTACACAGCGCCAGAGCTCCCTGTACTTTGGTGGGGGGGAATCAATACTAGAGTCACCTGTCACTGGGAGATACAGGAAAGGACACCTGTGTGTCAGCACTCACTTGGAAATACACTGTCCAGTAGGGGATCAGAGCCAAGAAAACAGGGATAATCTTGCCAAGAGCTTTCACGTCTTGCACTTTCTCTTCAGGGAAGGGTCCTCCTTGAGACATCTTACATGAATCAAACAGACTGGGTTTAGAGGGTTGTTCTGAGACGCCAAGGCCTTCACTTTGGGAAATAAAATGAAGGAATTAGTTTTCTTCCACCGCCCGGAAAGCCATTCTTTGGTCACAAATTCAGCTTGGTGGTAGGAAAGCGGCGCACCATGTTCCCTCTGCTCCCCTCTTCCTATACTGACTGACTGGGCACACCCATGCAGCCGCCTAAACGGTTCCAAACGGCCCCGGATGCACCTGCTGCACTCAGAAAGTACCCCTGCAGCTACCTCAATTCAAGGGGCTGGGAGGCCTCGCAGATACGCCTCCAGTCCCCACAACGAAGTGGCTGCTGCAATAATGCAAGTCACAGGAAGCGTGTAAACATGACTCGGACACTCCCTACTCTACAAAGAGAGCCGCCATGACAGAACACGTGAGCCTCCATCACAATGACCCAAATGTGGCAGAGACACCAGGTGAGCATGTGGCAACGGAAACACGGCTCTGACAGGCCTGCCTGAAGTGAGCATGTGCCAATGGAAACACGGCTCTGACAGGCCTACCTGAAGTGAGCATGTGCCAACGGAAACACGGCTCTGACAGGCCTGCCTGAAGCACGGCTGCTACATACCTTCCACTGATTTTAAAAAGAAAAGAGCAGTGTCTGTAAAGTGCACTAGGACAAGAAGAGCCTGCATGTCCCAATCGTGGCTGATGTGAGCCTCGGCTTTAGGGCCCTGGGCAACTGTGTAGGGGGACCGGGAGGTGGAGGGGCAGCGGAACCGGAGCTGCCAATGGCAACGGCAGGTGCATCACTGGATGAATATTCGAAAAAACCCTTTCCCTGCCAACTTTTGGCTTTTCATTAGCTAACTCAACCGCAGCCTCATCCTGACAACTAGCACCCAAGTAGTGAGATAAAGCCGCGCCGGGCTACGCAGCGTGCAGACACCGGGCTCGGTGTGGAAGGGGAGGTTCTCTGAGATTAAGGAAGCACTTGGGGGGTTGGCATAGGAGCCATGGTGGTGCCTTGAGGTCAGCACTGGGAAGCTCACCGGAAGGTTCACACTACCTACTACTCCCCTCGGAAGAAATAGCTGGCAGTCTGCCCACTAAAGACGCCGTGTGGAAAGCCTCCGGGCCAGTCCTACAGGGTGGCTCTGAGTGGGACTGCCTGAAGGCAGCAAGGCGTTACCAGTATGACGCAGGGTGTCCCCGCGTGCTCAGAGTACAGGATTGGAAACCCTATTGGACAGTTCTCCCATATCCTATCAGGTTCCCTAAAAGTCCACACTGACTCCCTGGCAGTGGGTGTGACTTGGTTTGGACCAGCGCATGACTACAGCATGATGCACCAGACTACAAGGTGGCAGTTCAAACCCACCAGCTGCTTCTTGGAAACCCTACACAGGAACCAACTCAACAGCACTTACCAACAACTAAAAACTTCTTTTATGTTTCACGTAGCCATTTTCACACACACACAAACCATTCAGGCGGGTCACACTGGCTTTGTATAAGTCAACGCATGTGCGAAACCACCCTGTTCACACAGGTTGTCAGTGTGTGGTTCTGCAACACAGCACAGTCCCCCGGGTGCATGGTCACCAGGGACGGGTCTCCCAAGAGGTTTGGAACGATTTCCCTTCTGCTCAGGACAATGGACAAATGCACAACCATGTCCCATGTAGAGACAGCCCTACATCATCGTCAAAACCTACACCTACAGAGGCCAGAGAGCAGCCGGGGTGGGCAGTAACTAAGGAGACCTGGGGTCTGGGTGTGCCTCCTTCCTATCAGAACATGACTTCAGCGAAGCCAGCACGTGCTCTCGCCAAGCGCTTCTGCGCAGGCCCTCCCCAGGCCTCCCGTCCCACCTGCAGTGTACAGAGAAGACACTGTGTCCAGTCCTGCCACCAGGAGGGAAGGAGGGCATGGGCTGAATCTTCTGCAGGATATTTTCTAGGCTTTCTGCAAGCTAGTACTTCCTGTGCATGGGTGCTTACTTCCAATAATCAATCAAAAAGGAAATCTGTTTTCAAGTAAAAGACACAACCAGGGCCCTCCCCCGGTGCCGTCTGTGCATGTTAATTGAAACCCATCTACGAAGCAATGTTCTCCCCTTAGAAGAACGTCTGCCAGGCCCCAGCTCACCCCGACACTCTACCCAGGGTTGTTCCCTCCTTCACAAGGCCGCACTGTGCTAACGGGCATCCCTCAACACAACCGAAGTCAAGCGTCCCCAGAGGCTCGAGCCTGCGGCCGAGGCGGAGTGACCCTCACTCTTGCTCTGTTCAGGTCATCAGGAGTCAGTGTCAGCTCCATGGCTACTGACAACCACAAACAGACCGGACCGGCAACACAGGAGACGGGAGGACATGGAAGACCAAGAAAAGGAGGCTGAGAAGGGAGAGATGCCTCTCCGAGGGAAAACTGCTCCAAACCACAAGGGAACCCTTCTCAAAGGTTGGAAGGGAGCTGGATCGCGGGTTTAGAGGGACAAGGAAGCCAGCGTGCCCCAGGGCTGTTGGGCTCAGCTGCGAGGGGCCTGGGTTCCACAGGTCTCTGCAAAGGAAATGAGAGCCCAGACTGGGAGGCCAGTGTGGTGATGGGTGGGCCAGGACAACACAAGCCCCTTCAGTCAGTCCACCCTCATCGAGCCTACTGTGCGCCATACTTTCATTCTACTTTAAGACAAAATCCACAAGAAAAAAAACAATTCCTGTGCCCCGTCCCCCAACCAGCGGCGGGAACCCAGGAAGGCGGTCTGGAGAAGCCCACACAAGCTGCAGCTCCAGAAAGCAGAGGTGCCGGTCAGTCCAGGGAGAGCTACTCTGTGTGATTCCAGACTGAGTCTCGGCCGCTGCGCACACCCGGGAAGCCAAACGCAGACAGACACAGAGCGCGCACTCGGGGCTGGCCTGTGGGAGAGAGCTCCTGTCAGCAAGCATCCATGAAACTCTCCACACTGACGACAAGAGCCCCTGTGAAGAGTCACTAGGAACATCACAGCAGGGGTGGGCACACGTGTGTGCACATTGGTACAATGTCACACAATTACAGAGCGGAAAGGGGGGCTTTGTACTACATATGAATTGTACATCTGTAAATAGCACCAAACTTTTTCTGAGGCCTCTTGGGCTAAATTCTAGACTTAATTATTTTTATTAACATGCATTTAAGGTGACCAACCAACCGTCCGAGTTTGCCCAGGACTGAGGGGTGTTCTCAGGTGAGGAAGAAACCCTTATAAAAGGAGTAAAATCTACCTGTAGCTTAGCCTTCTGCCCCAGAATAACCAAAGGACAAGCGGACGGTGGGGCTCCTGCGGGCCCCCCAGGAGCCAGCTCGGCAGCAGGGCGTACGCAGCTACCACTCCAAAGAAGCAACTGTTTGGGTTCTTTTTGATTCAAGAACATTCCTACCACTTTTTAAAATGAACAATGTCTAAAGCGTGCCGACTGAGTCTTCCTTCTCCCCCAGATTTCTGACTTTAGCAGCAGACCTAAGACAAAGCCAGGAGAATCCTGTGGGGGCCATTATCTGGGTCACTGCCCTGCCTCTCCAGCAGGGAGAGCTGCCCAGGATAGGGTGAGGGCTAGCGTACCCCGCCGGAGCTATCTGTGCCCAGCACGCCACTAAGCACTGTGGAGAGAATGAAGCTCATACCCACTGCATGGCCGTTTTCCAATCTGCTGCGGACAGCAGGAGTAAGCCAGGATCTTGACCACGTCTGTGAAAGCACTGCCGTCGGGAGGCTTGCTGATGAAAAATCTCTTGCTGCTGAGGAAGACCACGAATGCCATGCCGATGCACACTGTGGGGATGGCGTAGCCGATGATAAAGCTCACATTCTGCTGGATGTAGGCGATGCCTCCCAGTGAAAGGATAGCACCCAAGTTAATGCTCCAATAAAACCAATTAAAGAATCTTCTCGTGGCTTCTGGACCTCGATCTTTAACCTGCAACAGACAAGGCAGGAAACGACCTGAAGATACAATTGTCTTGAAGGCACCAAACCCTGAAACCCGCCCTGTAAGCAAGCGTCCCACACGTGATTCCCACGCTTCTCTGATCCTGCTTTAACTACACCCAGAGCTCTGGACTGGCTGCACATACGAGGGACCTTCAAAAAGGGCGTGGAAAATGGAGTAAAAAGAGAGTACCATATTTCCATGAACTTGTTGAAACTCCATCATATATGTCCTTAAGCATGCCTGGGGATCTTGAGAAAATGTAGGTTCTGGTTCAGTCTACCTGAGGTGGACATGCACATTCTCAGCAGGAGGGGAAGCAGGATGAACCAGTTTAAAGTCCTGATTATAATATATCCTGTTGTTGTTGTTAAGTGCCATCGCATTGGCATTGATTCTGACCCATAGCAACCCTGTATATGGTTTCCAAGGAGCAGCTGGCATTAGCCCATAGCGCCACACCAGAACTCCTACAGCTCAAAGGGGCACCTCAAGACCACCTGCTTGGTAATCCTTTGGAATGTGGGTTAGCAATACAGATTCTCGGGATCCCAATCACTGGGGGGCAGGCCCAGGGACCTGCATTTCAAAGAAACGTCCACATCCCAGGTGAATGGTGCCACAAGGCCCAAGAGAAGCACCGCAGGTCACACCACGGGTTCAAAGACGGGTTCAAAGACATGAGGGTCGCACACCTGTGCCCGGGCTCCTGAGAAGGCTTAGCATCACACCTGGAATGACGCGACAACCTGGTGGTGTTTGTAGATGAGTAAACCTGGGGTGGCGCTGTAGGCTAATACGTCACACTGCAAAGTCGTTTGACCTGCAACATGGGTGGTTCAAGCTCACCTTGGAACTCTATACAGGGTTGCTATGGGTCAGAATCGACTCGACGGCACTTCACAACAATCCTCTGTTGGAATCGGGAGAAATCCTGATGAGGGGAGAGATTTCTGGGCACTGCTGGGTTATGTGTCTGCCCGCTAACTGAACCCACCAGCTGCTTTGAGTTTGGAGAAAGATGAGGCAGGGTGCATCTGTAAAAACCTCACCTGGAAACCCTAAGGGCATAGGCTGGCTACGAGTCACAATCCACTAGATGGTGGCGGGATGGGTTGGTTTAGAGAAAGATGGGCACCAACTTGGCTCAGTCCCTCCCCAAGGCTAGTCAGTTTGAGCCAGGCTAACTGGAGTCCTGGCGTGGCGCTGTGGGTTAATGCACCAGACTGCAAAGCCATTTGAACTACAAGGTCAGCGGTTCAAGCTCACCAGCTGCTCCTCGGAAACCCTATACAGGGTAGCTATGGGTCGGAACCGACTCGATGGCACTTAACAACAACAACAACAACTGGAGTCCTGGGGTGGTGCTATGGGAATGCACTGGACTGCAAGGCTGGCAGTTCAAACTCAGCAGACGCTCCTTGGAAACCCTGCACAGGGTCACTATGGGTTGGAACCAACTCAACGCACTTAACAACACGTATCACAAGTCCTGGTATGGCACTGTAGAATAAGCACCACACTGCTAACTGCACGGCCAGCGGTTCAAATCCACCAACCACTCTTGGAAACCCTATACAAGGTTGCTCATCACCCAGATCCTCACGATGACGGTTAGGGTTAGCCTGCAAGAGCGAGCAGCTACAACTCAAAGACACAGCTAAGGAGTTTCAGCCATCCTGCTATCTTGTCCTAAGTTATGGAGTATGAAAAAGTCCTGAAAACTTCAGAGCAGTCTCCTCTAATGAATAACCATAAGTTTTCCATGGAGACCAAACCAACCAATCATAAGGAATAAGCATCTTGTCAGTAGTCACATTTAAAAATATATTTAAAAAGATTAATGTAAAGATATTAAATTATACAAGGGGCCTTCAAAACGTTCTTGGTGAAATGGGATTAAAAGACAATGGAGACCCTTTGAGCCGTGCGCACTTGCCGCGTGAAGGCCCTGCAGCGCCTGGTGGAACCGCTCACGGAGGCCGGCGTGGAGAGGATGGAGGTTTCTCAGAACGCTTGCAAGGATGCCCTGGTGACCGGTGTTCCAGCTGGAAGCAATCTTGGGAACTCAGACCCTGGGCTTCACTCTGAAGATTAGGACGCAGCTCACTTGCATGCCTTTAGCTATGAAGTGATGAATGACTGCCTCCAAGTTTCAAGACAACATTTCTCTGAAGCTAAACTACTTTTACTTATTTGAGGTCTTTCCTGTGACCAGATCCTATAGCCAAAATTCTAGAGTCGGGTCCCCTCAGTGCAAACCCCCTTCCAAGACTAAGATCAATGGGAATACACGCTGTGATCGGTGACCACACTCGACACTGATAAGGGGAAGTGAGGGAAAAACAGCAACGAAGCGGTGAGCTAAGCCCTACAACGTTCAGTAAACTTCTGTGAACCCGGGTGAAGACCTGGTTGGCCAGCAGTATGGCAAGACCTGGGGACTCTTGGGCCCAGGGTCAGTGACAAATCCACAGAGGACTAGAGTAGAGAGTGAAGCGTCCAGCTGATAAGAAGAGAGGGCATATGCATAAGAACACCCACACCTGCAGAGAATACCCACTTATCATGGCTTCAGTGACTGGATGATCAGAGCTCAACCAGAAGTAAAAAGAAGAGGAAAAA